GCTTACCCTTTTGTCAAGGGTTGGAAGCTCACCCCTTTTGTCAAGGGATTGGAGCTTACCCCTTTACTCAAGGGGTTAAAGCTGGCAGTCTTGCTTGATGCTTAAAAGGCTGCAGGCATACATGAAAGTCTCACCAAATAGTGGCTTCTTCCACACAGAGCTGGGGTGCACAAAACCACACCAAGCCATTGCAAACAAAGCCAAACCCCAAAAACCAGTTTCAGGATACCATAAAAACAAACCAACCCCCACCCATCCCAGACACACCCTTTGCCTTTTGTCACTATGCTAAGCTGTCCCTTTGCTAGGTTCAGCAAAGGCTGCCAAGTACTACCTTCCCCCTTTTCCAAGGGGTTGACCCCTTTTGCCAAGGGGTTGACACCTTTTCACAAGGGTTTGACCCCTTTTGCCAAGGGGTACCCCTTTTGCCAAGGGGGTGATCCCTTTTACCAAGGGTTTTGCCAAGAGGCTGATCCCTTTTGCCAAGGGGTGGCCCCTTTAAGTGGTTGGTCCCTTTTACCAAGGGATTGCACAGTTGACCCTTTTGCCAAGGGTTTGCACAGTTGACTCCCTTTGCCAAGGGGTTGGCCCCTTTTGTCAAGGGCACTTTGCTATGCTTCACCTTTTGTCAAGGTGTTTTCACCAAGTGGCATATAGGTGCTGCCTCAGCTCCAATGCCTCATCCTTAGTAATGTGGTCTTCTTCCAGCCTCTTCTGGATATGCTCCAAGATCTCCAAGTATTTGGTGTGGTTCTTGTGAGTAGTCTCCACAATCAATGAGACCTTCCCCTTGCCATCTTCAGCTGTGGTCCCACAGATGTTCTTTGTTTGTCTTTGTAATTCTCAACTTTGTCCATTTCTTCCTAGGGTAGGTTGGTGGTCCAGAAGGTGCGGTCCCTTTCTTTTTCCCTTTTGCCAAGGGTTTGCTTTTCCCTTTTGCCAAGGGTTTGTTTTTCCCTTTTGCCAAGGGTTTGCTTTTCCCTTTTGCCAAGGGTTTGCAAGCTGGTCTTTTTGCAACAAAGCCAAAGCTTTTCTGCAGCTTTGCTTTCTCTTCTGCCTGATCCTCCTTTGGCTCTTGAGTGGTTGCCAGCTGCCCCTGCCTTCTTCTCAAGAAAGAGGGCTGGGGCAGTGCTTTTGCCAAGGACTCCTCACCTCCTTTTGCCAAGGAGTCTTCCAAGGCACTCCCTTTTGGCAAGGGGTGTTCATTCTCTCCTGCTGGTGGTGTTCCAAAGCAAGCAGGGTAGCCTTGGCTGTCCAAGGACACTTCACTGATTTCCTTTTTCAATTTCTTCTCTGGTTGCTTTTGCTCTTCTTCTTCCCTTTTGGCAAGGGGTAATGCATGCATTTCATTGTCCTTCTTCTCCATGATGTCAATGACTTCCTGCAAATGCATGAACTCCAGAGATGTTAGCTTGCCAGCACACATCCTCAGGTCTTCTCCTTGTTTCAGTCTTCTCATGTGGTATAGGACCACCCCTACCCTTTCCACTCTGACATTGACCCAGAGGCCACCATTCCAATTACTCTTGTTGAGGGCTGGGTGCTCCATCAAAACCTGCATTACAGCTTGCCTCAGATTCCCTGGGTGTATCTCAGCTGTTGGCTCCAAAGCCACCAGCACTTTTACCAAGGGCAACACCTTCAGCAATGCCTTTGGGTTACAGCATTGGTTCCTGGAGATCTGCTCATAAGGGCCCAAATCAGCCAACAGATCCTTGCGATCTGCAAGGCATGTAACCAGCAAGTCAACATCAACCACTGGTTTGCTTGTGTGCCTGGCACCACCCTTGCCCATCACCCTTTTGTCAAGGGGTAAGGCAGCCCTTTTATCAAGGGATTAGATCCCTTTTCTCAAGGGATTAGATACCTTTTCTCAAGGGCTTTGATCCCTTTTCTCAAGGGATTATTGCCCTTTTCTCAAGGGGCTTACCCCTTTTGTCAAGGGTTCAACTTGCTGTTTGAGATAGAAAAATTGCTGCAAAAAAATCAATAAAGGAATCAATAGCAAAATCAATTAAAAAATCAATTAAAAAATCAATATATTTCTTATCACAAATCTATTGATAATATCAATAAATTTTGCTATTGAAAATTTCAATTAAAAACAATAGGTTTTAATTGATTAGAATCAATAGAGGATGCTCAGGGAGTAGTGTATGAATGGTCCCGCTCAAGCGCAGTGGCTACAACAGCAACGGTTCTCCCCCGCCATGGCAAAACAATACATAGTGAATGAATCGAACCTCTACGAGCCGGGATCGACCCTCTTGCTTGGCTTGGCGGTCGTCCAAACGACCGGGAACACCCCTCGACCGATGGTGCTGCATGGTGGTCCAACGGCCATTTTCAGCAGCAGGTGTCGGCCCCATACACAGCATGGCTTACGTATACGATGGATGCGGTTGGAGCTGGCACAGCTGGGTGTGCACTCTCAACCCGTTGCCACGGCCGCGCAGGTCCGTGGCAGGGTGTCTTTTGGTGTTGACTGCGATGGCTGGGGGTCTTCTGATTCTCAGTCTTTTTGGACTTCAGCCGTGTGTATATTTCGGACAAGAGATGGCAAGAGCATATCTGTATTATATTATATATATTATGTATATATATATATGCAATGAGCTGACCATTGTTTGCAGCCTCCAGGTCAAATGTTTGCTGGATATGTTTTGCATGCAAGGCGTCTTTGCTGGCACGCTTCATGGTCTAGTAGTCTGACCTCAAATTAGTGCTGGCTTTGTCACCATAGTGGCATAGTGGCTACCTAACATGTAACACAAGTTCTGCAGGTGATGTAGCCTCTGCCAAGTGACAAAGGGGTCCATTCTCTTCTTGGGGTGTGCTTTCAAACACATCAGCTCACCCTGGTCATCTGCACCTAGCTCCACGTCGGACCAAGTCCTCTTCATCCGCGCATCTGCCTTCCCTGAAGAAGCAGCACATGACATCTGATGCGACATCAGCGTTGCGCGTTTGGTCAAGCAACCTGATTTCCGCGAGAAAAGCGTCTTGGGCCAATCTGCACGTCCCACCCTCTGTCTGAAGCTGCGAGGATTCATTTGGTTCGCTGCGTTTCGATGCTCCATGATTTTTCCCCAATGGGCGAGACTCCCACCGTGCAAATGGAAAGTGCAGCCCAGCTATCCGATGCATGAGAAAGTGATCTGTCAGCTTTTTCACACTCTCGATCAAGTGCCATAGAATGCCTTGAATCTGGGGCAAAACTCTATAAGTTCCGCTTCATGGCCGACGTAAAACCATCTGCACATAGCATGTGGAACGCCTTAAAGATCTCAGCAGCACCAAGCAACACGTGTTTCACACCGGCGGCTGTGGTTGTTCTTGTGTCAAGTCAGTGACGAAAGGACGCGACGACCTTTGCTGCAAGAAAACTCCCTCCACGGCCGAACTCTGGCAAAGAAAGCAACCCCGAACTCTGCAGTCACAAAGGAGTAGTGTTTAGTCCCATCCAGTGAGTGGAGTAGCTGGGCACCCCGACTACCTCCATGGATAGCACCCCGACATGTGACTGCTGGCTTACCGATTTGGGTGCAAAAGCTGCGATGGCAGACAGGGGATGCCAGGCATCGAGTCCAGTTTTCACGGAGTGTGGCACCGTCAAACATCCCTCGAACATCCCAGGAATCCATCTCCTTTAAAAAAAAGAGAACCCAAAGAAACCTCTCATTGAGATGACTCATGAAGACTGAAGGACTCGCAAGATCCTCTAGAAAGAACCTCCGACTGTGGAAAGTTCTTTACCCATAGGGTCCAGGTACCTCCTGAGGACATCCTCAGGATGGTCCTGGACCCTTAGGGTTAAACAAAAAAAATCAAAAATCCACCTACGTCCCCATCAGATCGCGCCTCATATAGGTCCCCCGGTGGATCGCAGCCGGGCGCCTGACCCGGTCTCAAACCATCGAACCACCTGAGTAGACTGACCCCAGTGATACCCCACCGAGGATGATGAGTGAAAAATCACTCTGCCGCTTTTTTGGCATATGTGTTCCTATAGCGCCCTGCCCTTTTTTTTTAAGCCTCAGCATATATATATATATATATATATCGGTAACCCAAAAAAAACGTGGGGGAATCACAGGAAAAGCGGCTGAATCATCATAATCAACGCTCCAAAATCACACCGTTTCTCACTATGACAGATCTTGCATGGTCTTGCTATACCTACATCCATACAAAACCAAAGCGCCAACACAGAAACTGACTCACTGCACCAAAGAATCATCTAAACTGCGCCAGCTGAACTGCCAGTTTCCCAATGAAACCCATGTGGAGTGGGCAACCTGACCTGAGCAAAGCTCACCCCGTGACCTGAGGACGGATAATTAGAGTGGGGGGAGGTCTCGAAGAAAACCATATATCTCCGGGTTTGTATGGCTCGAATCATATAGGGAGTTTGGGCCAAGATCTTCTGGAAGGTCTAGAAATGTTTAGAACATAGATCAGGCTATCATAATAGTCTACCCAGCCAGGGCCCACCGGATGTCTCCCTGATTCGAATATTACACACCCATATTTATACACTGCACACAACCCGGGCAAGCTTCGACTCACCTACCAGTGGCGTCTGAAATGAACCCTTACGACGCCAGCGACGGCACGAGCGAAACCGGCAGTTCTGTGGCTCGAGTGGCGACTAGCGTGACGACTGAACTACAGTACAAGCTTCTGGTCTCAGCTATAGGACAATTAGAGGGACTCCAAACATCAATTTTGCCTACCACAATAGAAGCGAAAAAGCTCCATGATGCCAAAATCATGCAACATGTACGGCATTGTACGGCATCTTGCTAGCTGCTAGCTGGGTCACCCGGGCTTGCCAGCGACACCCCAACAAATGGGTAGTAGACTGGTCTATTTTGGGGGTTGAACATCATGTGGGTGTTTATTTTAAAAGGGAGACCACTGGATCGCCGAACGACACCATCTCGCCTCATACAAAGCTCTCAAGAGCCATGCAGCTCCAGCCTGGGCAGGGGGCTTCTCCCACCAAAATGCCAAGTGCTAGGAGCAACCTGGGCAGGGCTGGAATGTAAACTCACACTCTGACAAACACATAATCGATTTAACGTCGATGGCATGGTCACTGTGGTCTGACCATGGTCTCACTATGGTCTGACTGCTTTGAGTTTACAAACAGGGGGTGAATTCCACTTCCGTGTGATGTATTTGTCGGGTTTTTGACATTCAGACCCAAGAGTGAGAGGAAAATGGACATACCTTTTAGACTTCTAGGGATATAGATGCAACACAATAACATGTGTTTCTGATTCTGTTCACAGTGTTTCCAGTGATAGGACCCTAGGAGTTCATTAACACACAGAAGTCTTAAAGCCAATATGGTTTCACCAATTCTTGCAACAGTTGTTGACAACTGTCACAAGTTCTTCCTCTAAATTTCACCACAACTCTGACACGTTGAGTGGCACTCGAGCAATGGAATGACCTCCTTCGCGCTTGAACAAACTATGAAGCTCATCGACTCCTTGGACCTTGGGAAATTGAATTCAGAAAAAAAAACGAACACTAATCCGTGCTTCATCGACTGGAGAAAAAAACCTCTCAACATGTCTCTTCTTCGCTGGGACGGCGAATTCGCCCGGGAGGTGATGCCTGTGGAGGTGATGCCGACGCCATCACGAGACGGTCTGGATCGAAGTTGGATTGAACGTCTCACCCTTCTAAGAACATCTTTTGGGGCTCAATTTCTAGAATTAACATATCTGAGAATCAGATCTGAGACTTTGATCATGATTCTCACCCTCAGTTTAAAATGCCTGTGAATAGCTGGAGCCCTTAAGAGCCGGTTGCTCCGGTGCGTGCCCCC